ACAAGTTACCCTCGGTGCTTGAAATTCGAATGGAAAGATCAGTCTTTAGTTTCACGGTCTTAAATGCTTCCAATCATTCTCATTCTCCACTACAGTTTCCTTTCTGGCACTCTCAGCTTTGGAAGTCTAAGAATTCCTACCAGCTATGTATGATGTGTGTGCCAGCCAGCCAGTGGTGCAGCAAGACTCCTATAATTCACAGGTCACTGACCCAGTGGCTAATTTCACCAGCTTTTGATATGACCCCTTTTGTAATCTCAGACAACTTCTGAAGTGAAGTAATTGTTGTTCCTTACATTAGAATCCAAAATGGTTTTTCTTGAATCAGTTAATCTTTTGAAATACCTTGGTTTGATCATTCATCAACCTTCTCAATACATGGGAATACAAGGCAGGTTTCTATATATGTCATAATCTGTACCTCATAATTTAACCCACTAAACTATGGTTTGAATCTGGTGAATCTATGCTGTACATTTCCAAAATATGTATCCTGAAGGTTGTTATGTAAAATTGTTTAAAGACATTCACTTGGGGTCTGAACAAAGCTCTGTGCAAGTGAAACACTTCCTGACTTTTGAATTGTAAACCGTTTGAAGGAAATGACGAGATTCCATTGGATATCCTGCTTACGTTTTGTAGCTTTTCACCAACCTTTAGTAATCGGTGTACGTGGACACCAAAAGTCCTTTGTTTCTTCATAGTTCCTAGTCTTCCAAAATGAAAAACTGTTCTGATTTGTCTTTCTCAGATCCAAAATGTGTGATTTTTCACCTCTCTATATTTAATTCCATTCAGTATAGTTTTACCTGCTTGATGGGTATGTCTACATCCTTTTGTAACTGTCACCTGTCAATCCACATGACTCATTCCTCCCAACTTACTGTCATCTGCACATCTAAATTTAAAGCACTCTGTTCCGTTGTTGAAATCATTAGGCTTGTATGCTGAAAATCTGAGACGTCATTTGTTGCTTAACTCTGACTTACTCTCTATCTCCTATTTCCCAACCTTTAAGATTATATCTTATTATGTCTCCTCTCATCTTTCTTGATAAGCCTTGTTTATCAAAACATTATGAAGTCCCCTTTGGAAATCCACGTAGACCACATGTGTAGTCTCCTACACCAATACAATTTCCTACTTACTATGTTAGTGACCTCCTTAAAAATATTCAAATAGTCAGGCATCACCTCCCCTTTACCAATCCATACTCACTCTCTTTGATAATTTAAGTGCTCAGTTTTTGCTATTGGTTCCAGCACCTTCAGCAGCACAGTTGATGTTTAAATCCTAGCATTGGTTTGATTCTTCTGCAAGTGGTAGATTCTGAGTTTATTCTAAATCAAAATCTGCAATTTCTATAGCAATATACATTATGCTGGTTTGGTAAGCCTGTAGAATAAAAATCTGTTGTTCTAAGAATAGTCTGAGACATTTGTTAAACAAACTATCTGCTATAGGAAAGATGTTAAACTTGAAAGGGTTCAGCAAAAAATTACAAGGATTATACTGGGATTGGAGGGTTTGAGCTATCGATAGAAGCTGAATAGGCTGGAGCTTTTATCCCGGGACTGTCAGAGGCTGAGGGCTGACCTTATAAAGATTTATCAAATCATGAGGGATGTAGATGGGGTGAAAAGCCAAGGTCTTTTTTTCCCAGGATAAGGAGTCCAAAACTAGAAAGTGTAGGTTTAAGGTGAGAGGGGGAAGATTTAAAATGGACCCGAGGGACAACTTTCTCGCGCAGGCAATGGTAGAGAGTAGTGCATATATGGAATGGGCTGTCAGAGGAGGTGGTGGAGGCAGGCATCTGACTGGGTACATGAATAGGAAGGGTTTAGAGGGAAATGGGCCAAATGCTGGCAAATGGGACTAGGTCAGATTGGGAAGTCTGGTTGGTGCTGATGATTTGGTCTGAGGGGTCTATTTCCATGCTGTTTAACTCTATGACTCTAATGATGAACCACTGTGTTTTTAATCCTGGTGCATCTGATATTCTTCTTACTGTTACAGGCATGGTGGTAGCTGTCTATTTAAATAAAAGGAGTTACATGAAAGCCTGAGGGGGGAGATCATTATTATCATTTAGACAAGAGTACAAAGAGATCTTTCTGTTCATTGCGTCAATTAAAAACATACTTTCTCAAAAAGTTAAAATGTAACTCTCTCAGGTGATATCACAATTCAACTGTGATTACAAATTGACGGTTTTAATTATTTCGCAACTTGGATGTTAATTGATCACGTATCCACTACAACATCAATGTTGATATCTCAGTGCCAATAGACTATTTTGCTATTATTTTCATCCCCTGGTTCTCTCATAAAAAGGGAGAGAAGTGAGCAGGTTTGTGGAGTCCAAGCGAAAGTCTTAAGTTTCTTGCAACAAGGGACACTGGGCAAATGCCTAGTAATCTGGCAGTGGCTTGGGGCCCTTGAATATATCGTTTAGGAATGGTGGTGGTAGTAAAAGCCTCATTACAGAACTTTGGGTGGTGAGAAATTTTGAAACTAACAGTCTCCCTGTGTAAAAACTCAGTGCCCAATTGACTTTAGTGCACACTTGAAAACTAGCTGAAAGCATATCATACTAGGGGGAGATGATGGCCGACTGGTATTATTGCTGGACTGTTGATCCAGAGACCCAGATAATGTTCTGGGACCTGTATTCGAATCCCACCATGACAGATTGTGGAATTTGAATTCAATTAAAAAAGAAAGTGGAGGTGAGCTGCCTTCTTGAACTGCTGCAGTCCTTGAAGTGTAGGTACCTTCACAGTACTGTTAGTCAAAGAATTCTAGGATATTGACCCAACAACTGTGATGGATCATGATGGCTTGTGGTTTGTAGGAGAACTTGCAAGTGATGGGATTCCAGTGCACCTGTTACCCTTGTCCTTCGGGGTGATAGGTGGGTTTGGAAGGTCCTTATCTATGGAGCATGTGTGAGATGCAACAGGCCATTTTGTAGAGTCACACCACTGCCACTGTGTGTTCACGTTGAGAGGAATGAATTTTGAAAGTGGTGGATGAGATTATGCATAAATGGGTCCTTGTCTGTTTGGCTAGATGTGAATGAGTGGAGTTTTATAGGGGCTTGTGCTGGGGCCTCAACTTATTTCCTCATCAATGTAAATTGTAAAAATATAGAACATTGTTGCTAAATTCAAAATGGCTGAAAGATAGGCTTGCATATTGTGAAGACAAAAGGAGTTTGCAGAGAGATATAGATCGATTGAGTGGGTATAAAAGATTGAAACCTGGAATGAGCAGGTTATCCCAAAAGGATAAGTTGGACAAGCTGTGCTTTTTTCCAGTGGAGTTTAAAACCGTGAGGAGTCTCTTGATTGAAGTGTGTAAGATCCTGAAAGGTCTTGACAGTGTAACATGGAAAGAATGTTTCCTCTCATGGATGAGTCCAGAATTAGAGGCAAATACAGAAAATACTGGAGAAACTCAGCAGATCTGCCGCATCTGTAGAGAGAGAAACAGTTAACATTTTGAGTCTAATGTGCCTTCTCTTCAGAACTGAAGAACAGTTCTGAAACAGCAGAACAGGCTTAAAGGCCCAAATGGCCTACTACTGCTCCTATATTACATGTTCACATGCACTGGAGAGTACACTTTACTGACTTGGATTTTTTGGGCATGTTGGTAGCGTAGTGACACAGAATTAACAAACCAGGGATTGTGCTTAAATCCTATTGTAACAGCATTCAATAGATCTGATGATTTGTGATATAATATTCGAAAAAGAAATTAAGCATGAAAGCAAGGGCATTGTTACCTGAAACACAACTCGTTCACTGAAATCCTTCCAACAAATAATTCTGTCTTCCTCACGTGATTTGTCCTAAATGTAATTGTAATCCCATGTTTCATGGTTTACTTTTAACTCCCTCTGAAGTGCCTAGCACACCACTCATCCGTCCGAGAAAAAACTTTTACTACAATGACCCATAATAATTTTTCAGGGCAGCTCAGGATGGCTAATGGTTTTGTGCCCTCGTCCCAAGGACAAATAAAGGAAAATGGGTATATATCTCTTTATTTGTGCCCAATTTGATATTTCCTGTCAATAACAGTAGAAGTAATTTAATTGACATTTTTATCTTTGAATATAGACTTCAAAGATTAGTGAAAGACCTGCTGAAACAGCTACAAGGACAGGATAGTGGACCTTGGGCAAACAACAAGGTGTCTTCGCTAGACAGGACTCTGGGAGAAATCAGTCGCATTCTGGAGAAACAGGTAAGCAGTTCGTTAAATTTCTTTTAGTGATTTATCGACTAGAAATTTTGGAGGCAATTCCCTACGATTACAGTTATTGAGGCTGGAAGATCATTTGTCA